CAGCAGAATAATAAAAGCCAACATATTCTGCCGGCAGATTTCTGCATTTTAAGTTAATTTAGGCGTCAATAAACTGTTTAAGAGGAGTGATCATAGCGCTCTGATCATCAGCGCTGTGTCTCTCTCCCTGCCAGCTCCCAGATCAGCTTCTCTGATTGGTTGACGCCGCGCGTCGAGCAGCAAAAATTTAATTTTTCCATCTCGAGCAGTAGCGCGTTTCCGGTGCGTCACACGCGTCAGATGCTTAAAAGCGCCCAACGCGCTGCGCCTGCTGCTCAAAACGCGCCGCGGGACCTTTTGCTGCGCCTTGACGCGCGTCAACCATTGACTTTGCATGTAAACTCGCTGCTTCTGTCGCGCCAGCTGCGACCGGTGTGAACGCAGCATTAGAGTAATAAACATTATCTGCAGCCCTAACAATAATGCCCCTAGTGGCTAAGACTCGCCACTACGTGAGCTAGACCTGTAACTTCCAGGTTCAGCTCCCCTGAAGGCGATCACTGCCCCACTGTGTTTTAGATTCTATTAGAAAACTGAACACTTGTGTCATCAAGGATGCTGTCGTTTGTTCTTGAATTCAAAGTACACAGCTAAATCTGGCCCGGGGCTTCTGGCTCTACTGCGCTGTACCATGTATTTATGTAGTTGTTGCCTGGTTTCTGCAGTATAGGAGCTTGAACCGTCCTCGCTGGATTGGGCTGTTCAAATTAACCAAGATTCCTGGCTAGGTGTGGGAATGCTTTCAGGAAAGCAATGGCCTCCGATCAGAGATGACATAGTTTGTTCAGGCAGTTATTGTGTAGCATGGTCAGTTCTATAAAAAAAAAAAAAAAAACGACCCCTAACCATGAAGACGTTTCCTTCACAAATGCTCAATCACCTTCCGTCTCTTCTTGTCTGTCTCCTTGTACAGATGAAGGCGCAGGTTGCGGACGGCCGGCAGGTTGTTGAACTCAAAGTGCTCGCCCCAGAAAACGGTGTCAGTGCGGGGCTTGCTGGTGGTGCGTGCATACAGCATGTCGTCCAGGCACAGCTCACAGTAGTAGCGCTTCTTAGCCGGCAGCTCGCGGGCTTCGATTATCCACAGCTTGAGCACGTTGTCTACCCGCCGACTGTTGTCCTGTATGAAGAAGAAACCAGCTCAAAGACAGTTTACAGAGCTTACTACCAGGCTTTTAAATATCTTTGCAGATTGAAGATGATATGAGTAAGGGAGAAAGATATGAAAATACAAAAAGTACAACAACTAGAAACTCAAGGACAGAAAGGAGAAGACAGAGAAGCTGAAAAATGGGCAACAGCAGGTCATCCTGCAGGGGAGAGACATGAATAAGGATGCACTGATTTGTCTCAAAGTTGAGAAGCTCTAAATTCTTAACACAGAGGAAGTTAACAGCATGACAGACACACAAAAGACAAATGACAGAAAAATGTAAAAGAACAATCCTGCATTTGATCTGTGCAACAAAGACACAAAAGATCGTAATTATGCTTTTGTGATAAGTCCTCATTAAGATCACAAAGTCTGTGTTATTTTTGACAACTCCTGCTACAGGAAAGGAGCGTGCTGATTGGAGAACGACTTTTCGGCTCAATCACCGTCCTCAACCGCTCATTTTAAACCCGACGTACAGCATGTTCTTCAGGAAACCATTTTTATATTCGGTGTCGAATGAGAGGCGTAATTATTTCCAAACCCGTGACTTTGAATGTTTTTGGGCATCTGGTGTCTCAGTTTGGCAGAGCAGCAGCAGCACCAGTAGGGGACCTGCTTCTCAGCCTTGAAATCATCACATGCCTTCTTTCTTTCTGTTATATCTCAGATTTGACTCCAAACACATGAGCGTGGATATGCTGCTCTGATCTGTCATGAAAGACAAAGACGTCAAAAGAGAATCTAAGGGGCAGGGAAGTTAAAAAGAATGGAGATAATCCTAATCTCTGCAGTGAGCCCCGTCTCCGCCTGTACGTCTGGTCGGAGATGCATGACCGGTGACGTTCAGGCGTAGGAGGGGAGAGATTTATCGGCGGGAACATCCGTTAGGAATCCTCAGAGCTCCGTGACTCAGCCAGGACCCCTGCAGCCGAAGCATCTGGACGGCGAACATCCAGCTCGCATGATGTTTCATCGAGGACGGGTTTAATTTGTCTCCAGTCCCCGGATGCTATCAAAGCCGCACGTCTCACATGTCTGCTCACTTTTAATAAGAGACGAGAGGAGAACAGGACGATTTCACAGAACTATCACATCTGCAGGGAAATCATTGATATTACTTGGTGCTGAGATCAGTTAAATTAAAGATGAGAGGATGAGAATATAATCTTACTACACAGGAAGGATGTTTTTATACAGAACACAAAGATTGAGACTGTTGAGCATTTGGGGCTTCATTCAACACAGACGTTGTCTAGCAGATGTTAAGGTGCACCTTTAGCATATGACGTACTAACATAGCGACGACGAAAACACAACCACAAGCCAGGC